AAGGACTATCAGTATTTTCAACTCAAAACTTCTATTTTCACAATTATATTTTAGTTGAGTTAAAAATTAATGTAATCACCTCTTTATTTTACAAATACTTTTTAAGCTTCATTGTGATATCTAATTTTCCCATGAATGATGATACATCTAAAATTATTGTTCCTGCATTTAAACATGAAGAAATGCTCATGGGCTCCTATGTGATTTGAAATTGCCCAGTGGGCAATAAACCCAATACCAGCACACAACACACACCATTCTGAGCATGATAAATGTAGCTGTCATGGACATTATAATTAAAAGTGTGCTACTGAATGTTTATTTTTCTTCTGTTCTCATGTTCACGAAGGATTTATTTCCACTGCAATATTTTTTTTTACAACTAACACAATATGTTATTTATTAACATAATAAAACTAGTTTGAAAAGAAAAGTGAAACTCACCTCTTAACTAAACAATCCTGAAGTATCTCTGTCCATCAATATGCTGCATGAAGTCCCTGGGTACATCCTCAAAGCATCTATTGTGATCAAAATATCCCTGTGGCATTGCCGCACAAAGAGTTAACTGCTCTGAGGGTCATTGTTGATCAAGGATATATTTTGATACATCCTGGGCTGTATATATCATGAAAATATATTTCATATTTCGAGATGAAATAATATCATTGGATAACGAAGCCAGTCTTTTGCACATAATAGATACCCATAAATTATTCAATTGTATGTATAAAATGCAGAATCAATTTGTTTAGGTTTTAGCTATGTTGAAATTGTTAGATAAAATCATTCACAAAGTGGTATTCTTTTTATTTCAAGTACGTTTTGTACTTGTACTGTTCTTGGGCTTATCCAGAACGGGGTTGTTGGGACAGCAGTCTCATTCCATCTCTCCAGACGCCTCCTCAAGCTCTGCTGGGGGAAGCCCTAGGTGTTTTAATGCTACATAGTCCTTCCAGTGTGTACTGGGCCATCCCTTGGGCCTCCTCCTGGTGGGATGTGCCTGGAACACCTTCCAGGGGAAGCAACCAGGAGGCTTCAGAAAAAGTTGTCCAAACCACCGTAGCTGACTCCTCTCCATGTTGAGAGGAGACTACCAGTCAGGCCACACAACTTTTTCCACAGTCCTTACTGCAGTAGAGAAACTAAATTAAAAACATATTTTACTATATCTTGTATTAGTTGTTATTTATATATAAAGTATATAAAGTAATCATATGACCATTATGGAGTAAAATTAAAATGCTGAGTTTGCAGTACATGGATGGCTCCAAGGGGTCAGAAAGAGGCTGAATGAAAAACAAAGGAAATCCAGCTCTCCATCGACCCTAATGGTTGCATGCATACAGGAAAAAAACACTGCTTATCCTTTGTAGGTACAGTTATTATAATTTCATTGCAGTCACTTGTAAAATGTGTGTAGCAGTGGGAAATACCTTGTTCCTCTAAGTTTCTATGCATGTGCCACATAATTCTTTTACATTTCCAAAACCTCTTTGGTAGTTTACAGTACATTGGCAGTGGATATAATAAAAATAACATGATTTACTTAAAACTTTGTTTAATTCAATACTGAAGTGAAAGGCAGACGGCGTGATGGTGATATTCATACCTGGAAGGTTTTGAAAGCAAAAATGAAGATGTTTGTTGGTAATTGGGGGTTCCCTTGATCCTGTGACACAAAGATACAGTATATGTGAGGCTTTCTCACTATACTGATAGTAACACCTGCTGCTTATAAACAAACACACTCTCTCCCTCACTGCATTTTTATACTTCTTCAAATACAATGTCTTACAATGAAAATAGTAAATTGGATAAATTATACATGTAGTAAGGGGAAAATTAGAAAAGTTTAAAGTTTTACTTTTGAGCATTAAAAAGGGTTATTAGTAACTTTAAAGGCCTTTAGCAGATATAGTTTTGAGCTGCAGATGGAGCCAAATAAGTTTTTACCTCTACTTCCAATTTTATGCAAAGCTGGATAAAACGCCTACTAACGTAAGATTTCTGCTACATTTACAAGCATTAAAGGGACATCTCTTTTTGACTGCTACCAACAGAGCACATTATTAAATAAAACACCAGATGATGCAGCCGATTAAGATAAGATTTCTCCCACTCTAAGGAGACTTAAGAAAATGAAAGCCTTTGTAATAACAGTTTGGAAATTTTTCTCAAATAGTACTGTTCATGAAGCAAACAAGGCTGTTAAATTGCCTGTCTTTACGCAAAGGCCTCATGTTAGAGTTACATCCAATTATTATGCCCGGTTTCCATGTAATTACCCTCCATATTACAAGTAAATTGCCATATTTCATGCAAAATAAACATATGAATACACAAAAGATAAGAAGGCCAATTAGAGTGTTATATGTCATTCTAGGTTTACTGCAAGGGAAATTGGGGAAATGTAGCCTTTAACACACATCGACCTTCTCTGTCATTGCAGGTCCCCCTAATTGCAGCTTTAGACATCCAGCAATTTCTAACTAATTTATTCCTGCCAGGCACAGTTTGTAGGTCAAACTTTGCACGGCCACAGTGCCAGGTGATGGCAGATTAATCTTGCGATACACAACACCAGAAATGTATAATAGCATTAAAAGCTGCCTTTAATGAAATTACAATAAAGCTCCAACAAGTTCATGAAGAAAGGAAGAGCTGCAGAATTTTCCTCATTTTGTCTCAGTTTAATGTCTTGTATCCAAAGTGACAAGATATCTAAATTGCAGCTATGAATACTAACATCTATCACCTTTGACAAGGCATCATATTTAGATTCTACTAATGATGTATCATTTTAGTTGACCTGAATAAAGGCAACCACTGCAAGAATGACGACCACAATGATGTAACTGCTTCAGTCATAAAACCCTTCTGACAAGCTGAAGCATCAGCACTCCATCTCTAGCTCAGGTTTAAACTTTAATGTAATCAAAGAGAAACATGGCTATATTTTGAAATTGCTACTCCATCCCTAGGTGGCCAGAGTGGAGACACAGTGTGAGCTGAATGATAAGTATTTCCGTCAGCCCAGTGGTAGTATACACCCTGCCAGGTCATCGCAGTGAGTCCTCGTCCTATAGCTGCTCTGACGCTATGTTATTGAGCTAAAGCCCTCCAGCTGTTTGCCGCTATATTTCAAGTAATTGAGCCATGGGATCAGAAGTGAAGTAACAGAGAAGGGGTTGTGTGGAAGATTGTGAGTGTGTGTGTGTTTGTGCATGTGTAATAGATGTTTTGACTGCTATGTCAAAGGTAATTGAGTCATAGGTAAGCAAGAGTGAACCTGCCAGCTGTCAGTTTCTCATAACCACATACATCAGGATGAAGCACATTCTATGATTCAAAAAGAAAAGTATGTGTTATTCTATGCATGTCCCATCATATACTTTGCTATTTTGTTCTGTATATATATATATATCAGTGTCAAAACAAAAACAAATGGCTATCTTATCTTTCAAAATAAACATTATTATAGGCATTTTCATAAAATGCAGTGCAATTAAATCCAATTCAGTTTATTTATATAGTGACAATTCAAAATAAAAAAATGTAAAGGGTATATAAGCTCTTTCAACATTGCCAGATTAGGAGTCTAAACATTTTGGAATATAGCCAATCTACTTAATTTCTAAATGAAAATCATGACTTAAAACAGAGAAGGTTGTGATAAAAAGAAAATGTCCAGTAAGCAAAAGTCATGTGGAAGAAATTGTTCCATTGATTAAAGAAATCCAAAGGGTAAAAGTGAGATGAGCTGCTAACTAATGAACGACATGCTGAAACTGCAGACTGCTGCAGACTGCTGCAACTCGCACAGGATCACCTAAATCTAGCCATAGCAGATTGGAAAAACCTTGCAGGTCTCAGTAGTTTCAATTTTAGCTGCAATTTAGGGCCAATTTTAGATCATTTATAGGCCACAGCCTACCTAAGTTTCGTTGATGACCATGTCCATCATTTTTATGACCACAGTGTATTTCATAATTTGAAGCCGACTTTCGGGCTAATAATACACCATAATCTCAAACTAGTTTCAAGACCATGAAAATTAATACAATATATTTAATTCACCATCATAGTCAGCAGATTTCTGTCTAATATACCACATTTAGGATCTCATAGAAAATTAGATTAATATTCCAAGTGTGTAATAAACTTTTATATAGCAGTCGTGTTTCCTACTGCTATTATTTCAGTATAAACCAAAATCTCTGAGGAATATTTCTTAAATCTTGTTAGGCACTAAGTAATTAGATTTGCTCTAAAAGGTAAAGGAATCCAGGCAGTCCGCATAGACCCTAAAGGACAGCGTTGATCTGCCCACAGCTGTGGTAATACAGGACCTTTCTGCAAGGTCACAATGATTGATATAAGGAATAACATCAAATCCAATGAGCAACCTAAATACAGGGATAAGTCTTATTAAAAAGCCAAGGCTGTTTTTGTCTTATATATTATATATATTTCCATGTATATTTTTAATAGAATATCAATCTAATGAAAGTGGAGGATGATAGCAACTGTTCAAGTGTTGTTTCATATATGAAACTGTCCAAACAAGATTTCTTTAAATAAAAATCTATCTATCTATCTATCTATCTATCTATCTATCTATCTATCTATCTATCTATCTATCTATCTATCTATCTATCTATCTATCTATATATCTAATTATAAAATAACATAGTATTATCATATTATATTAAATAATTATATTAGCCATATATGTGTGATATCAGAAATGTATGCGTTTTCTAAGAGAGACACCTGGTGGGTAAAAGTCGAGCATTACAGACGAATGCACATAGGCTAAAGTGTTATTCTAAAAAATGCACAAAGTATGACATTTTACTAATCCACACTTTTTAGCCTGCAAACGACGTTGCAAACGTGTGCCAAAGCTACATTTGACTGTAGTAATGTAAAGTGAACACATATTCCTCGGAACTATTCTTCTGACTGAGTTCCCACTACGGAGGAAGATACAGGTTGCGCCGGTAATGCTAGCCTTTGTAACTCACCCTACCGGTTGTGGATGTCATTCACTTTTCTTCTGTTATAATTTTAAACTCGTAAATTGATGCAAAGCTGAATGGCAGTAGCTGCATCTTTTATATATCATTGTTTTCCAACCAATTCATTCAAATGAGCCATTAGAAATGAGAGAAGGGTGAGTAGCTGGCTACTTGGTCCACCCTATAATGACAGCTAGGTGGCTAACTTCAGTAGCTATAGCCTACCGTTGCAATAGCTTGTTGTAGCCAAAGATAGCATTGTGCTTAGCATTCCGGGCACTGAGCTAATTCGTGTGAAAAAAGGGCAACATTTCTGGGGGATTAAGGCCACATTTATTAGCAGCACCATCGTTACTGATTTGACAGCTCACTGTAAAAGAATATAAATACGGTTATGCATCGACACCCGTGACCGAATGACGTTAGGCATTCGTAATAACATCTATGACAGCAGCTTTTACCGTTTATTCACTCTGGGTGGGGTCTAAACATGTTTCTTTCTTGTATTATGTCTCTGTAACCTGGAGTTATTTTATCCAAGTGCCTTCCCTACCTTTCTGTTTCAGTGCTTGTTGATTTTGTTTTAGAAATTGTCCATGATATTCTGCCCCTGACTGATGAAGAAATATTCTTCAATCTGTATCATATGATACGTATTTATTGTTACATTGAGTATTTTATTTTAGGTTGGGGGTGATTTTAAGGGATCGGCTTATACTGAAATATTCGTCAAATACCCTAGCCCTTTGGTCAGCCTTTAAATATAGCAGCGGCCTGTTTCTGATGGTGTGGCACAATAAAATAATTCCCCCTTTATTTTTTGTTTTAATATGGCGTAATCCCTTATTTCCTGCCATGAGTCAAATCTGCATACTTATGACTTTTTTCACAGTGTCCCATCTCTGTGACTATATGTTTTGGCGACCTATTAGTCAGAGTTACATTTCCAAAGATTTTTAAAAGGGTTTTTTTTTCTGTTCAACAAATTTAGATGAAATAGCTACCCCCTTACATGAGCAGCAGTCATATTTGTTTATTTTATGACCTTATACAGACATAATAAGTAAATGCATTTCAATGCAAATGCATAACTTTATAGTCAATGTGTTTAAAAGAGAAATGTATGGTTTCTTTTTCTTCCTGTATAGGTGTAGTTAATAATTTCCCACTTTTTCTTGTACTTTATTTTGCAGATTTTGCATTTTTTAGTACCGCTATGGAGAAGCCTTGGAGGCTGTGGGGTGCAATGGAGCGTTGCACCCTGACTCTAGTGTCTTGGTCCTGGGGTGCGTGCCGAGTGTCCCTTTTGGCTCTCATCCTCACCTTCCACCTATATGGAGGTTTTTTCCTCTTAGCTCTCATCCTCGCATCTGTAGCAGGCATCCTCTACAAATTTCAGGATGTTCTTCTCTACTTTCCTGACCAGCCTTCCTCCTCTCGCCTGTATGTCCCGATGCCAACTGGAATCCCTCATGAGAATGTTTACATTCGCACCAAAGACGGGGTGAAACTCAACCTCATCCTTCTTCGTTACACAGGAGGTGATTCACCATCAGGCGTTTCCTCTAACAATCAGAGCAGCCCCACTTCCTCTGCTCCTCCTACAATCCTTTACTTCCACGGTAACGCAGGTAATATTGGACACAGGGTGCCAAACGCACTTCTAATGCTTGTCAATCTGAAAGCAAATGTGGTGCTTATGGATTATCGTGGCTATGGAAAAAGTGAGGGAGAGCCATGTGAAGATGGACTGTACCTGGATGCTGAAGCAACATTAGACTATATCATGACCCGCCCAGACCTGGACAAAACAAAAGTGGTACTCTTTGGTCGCTCACTTGGAGGCGCTGTGGCTGTGCGTCTGGCATCAGTGAATCCTCACCGCGTAGCAGCCATCATCGTTGAAAACACCTTCCTTAGCATTCCTCACATGGCTTCAACTCTCTTCTCCTTCTTGCCAATGCGTCTGCTGCCCTTATGGTGCTATAAGAATCAGTTCCTGTCCTACAGACAGGTGGCGCTTTGCCGCATGCCTTCGCTGTTTGTGTCAGGTCTGTCAGACCAGCTCATCCCACCGGTTATGATGAAACAATTGTACGAGTTGTCTCCTGCGCGGACTAAACGGCTGGCCATTTTTCCAGAGGGGACGCACAACGACACGTGGCAGTGTCAGGGCTACTTTGCTGCTTTGGAGCAGTTCATAAAAGACCTGCTGAAGAGCCACGCCCACGAGGAAAGTGCTCAGCCCTCAGCCAGCGTCACCATTATCTAATGAAACAGTCAGGAATGGATGAAAAGAGCTGATTGATCAAACATCTTTGATTTGTTTCTGGGGTTTTTAATGAATTTAATGAATGAATGTACATTTACAATGCTCTTGTTTGGGTTTTTGCTTTTATTCCACTCTTTCTACTTTTCTGTAAATTTGATATGCTAAAATATTTTCACTATCCCAAAGCTTAATGGGGTGGGGATTTCTTATGTTTCAGATATTAATGGATTTGTCTGTGAAGGAAGCCGGAGCATAGCTGCTAAGGTCACATGACGTGCTAAAGCCACAGAGTTTGCTAATCTCGGTTTTTCTGAAATGACTACAAAACAGCTGATGTCCTTTTTAAAAGAACATTGACCGTTAAGAGCCCTGTGGTGTGAAGGTGAATACTGATCAAGAGACAAAAACATCTGTGTCCTAATTATGTAAATTAGAGTGCCATGTAGAGGTATGCTGTAAATATATTTATTATGCTGCACTTTTCAGTTCAGATTAATTCATCTTTTTTTGTGTGGGCCTACATCTCATGAGAAATAAATGGAGGAATAGAAGGATCCCTCTGAACAATGTTCATGAATTTGTGTACAACTTTAAATTTGCCCTGCAACATTAAAATAAAGAGACGCTTCTGAACATTTATCTTTAGCTTGCAAAGAAGAAGTGGGCAGAATTTTAAGGTGAGCCTGTTTCCAACTACTTGATGAGCTGTTTTCTCAAGAGTTATGTTCTGTTAAAATGCAGCTGGATCTGAATTGGTTTGAATGCGTCTGGAAAATTGTTTATTTCTGAAATTCAGTTCAAAAAGTAAAACTCATTAGATATGTGAGTAAAGTCGTTATTTATTCCTGTTAATGTAGTAAATCATTGAAAATGGTCCATATATGCAGACAATAATCGGTTGAGGTTCTTTTTGCATAAATTACAGCTGGCAAATTGGTCGTTTTAACATTAGCTTTTAGCTTATCTGCACCGCTAGCTCTAGTGTCTCCTCTTCCTTTAAATAATATTGAATTAAATCTCTAGGTGATTCACTTGCAGTCAACCCCAGTGATACCATTGTTACTCATTCAGTGTAACTAGGAGTTGTCGGCTACATTTGACTACGTTTGCAGATTTCTTGCACTACTTGGAAAAAAAAAATCAATATCTCACTTCTCCACAACTCTGGAACATCAATTTCCAAATGAAAAGCTGAAGTGTCAGCGTAGCGGGAAAATAAGGACTATTCTTTCCTCTAAAAAATTAGGCCCATGTGCTTTTTTCACCTTAGTAGAGGTAGGATACCTCTGGTATTTGCTGCTTAAAGCAACACTTGTTACACATGTACTGGAAACGTCTGGTGGCCCGTGGGGCCGTGATTATATATTTTGTACATCTTCCCTTGACTCAAAACGGTCCTTTAAGGCCTGTCCTCCTTCTGGAGAGTCAAAGGTCTGTTGGGCTATAGTCAAGTCAGCAGACTTCTTCAGATTGATCTATACATATGAGTTTTACTTTTTGAATTGAATTACTGAAATTATTTATTTGAGAATATTCATGTTGCGATGCACCTATAAAACCAGATGGGGGTTAGGATCAACTGAGATTTGGTTGTTACTGATTTGCTGCCAAAGCTTTAGTGATTGGTTCTTGTGGAAATCCTCTTGGCTTGGAAAGAATGTCAAAAGAAATTGGTTGAAAATAATTTGGGTCCAAATAAACAGATATTTTATTTCATAGTTATAATATAATGAAACAAGTCAATAATATTGAGCAGTAGGGAAAAAAAACAGTTAAGTAACCAGAAAACTGTTATCCTTTTCTATTGCCAGCTGCTTGCTGGTAATCTGCAGGGTTATATTTTCACACAAAAGTCAGAAGTATGTTTTTTGCAAACTTTTGTTAATTGTATTTTGTCTTACACATTTAGCACACTGGCCAGTTCAGCTGGGGACTTCCAGTAATTGGCCGGTGCTTGTTCTTCCTCTTTAAAACATACACTATGTGCCACTTTGTGTCTCGTATTAAAGTATGTTTATGAGGAAGGGAGTGCTCTAAAGCGCTGCAAATAAAGTCTGGAGCATTTCTAGTCGAATGTTATTATTTATGAGCTAATCTTTACATTTTAATTGTTAATTAAAAAACATCCTGTCTCCATGCAGTTGTGCAAAAATGGCTTTTCTCTCTTAGGCAGGGCTTTTAAATAGCTAATTAACCTTTCCTTGCATGTCTTCCACAGGATCGAGCTAAAACCTGAGGTTTAAAATGCAATTATTCGCTATTGCTTTCTGAATGCAGCACATTGCACTGCAATTGTTTTAAAGCCATTAAAATACTTTCAGTAGTTTTCGCTAATATTAGGTGAAAGGTTAAAAAAAATCTGATTGGCAGCAGCTGAAAGACCCAGCTTAAATCTGATGATGTTATTACAACTTTAAAAATCATCTGCAGGCCAAAATGAATGTAGGGAATGGTCTTGGACTAAAATATATTGTTACAGATTGTGTATCATCCCCCACGCTTTTTTGACTTCTTATCACTGGTTGCACTAAACAATTTTAGACGTTTTATTGAATTAAACCCAGAAGCATTTTTTTTTTTTTTGCAATCAAAGTCAAGTTTTGTGAATATACACTTGTTACTTTCCCACTAATTTTGTCTCATATTTACTATCTAAATATATATTTTTTTCAAGTATAAATGATAAAATCATACATTTTTTTAAGTTAATGTCATAACCAGATGGGGATTACTTTAACAAAAATTAAATTGTGAATTTTTCTTAACTAAATGTCAGGTGTGCACACCAGGCAATGAACAGATAAGAATGATTGCTGTTGAAAAAAAGGGTTATTTTTCAAGCTGGCATGTGTTTACATTAAGTCATGGCAAGTGTCTTGAATGAAACTGCAGTGTTGAAATACTTTGTGTACATGCACCTTGTCTTTAAACCACAACTTCACTTTAAAGAACCATTGATGAGACATCTGAATGAGCTGTTTATACCATTGAAACAAAGCAGTCGCTTTGACTGACTCTCCGTTTCAGAATCATGTCTTTTTCTATTTTAACTTCTTTTGTAAGAACACATTTTCACTTTCTATTTTCTGTATTGTGACATGCAATAAATTGATATAGTCAAATTTTCTTTTGATTGATGTTTACTTATTTCCTTATGCAAACATATCTATTGAGTTATAAAGAATCGTTCTGAATTTAGAGCTGTCAATCTTCCGTCAGCACTGACCACATTTTCTTTCCCTCAGCATGATGTTACCATCGCCGTGTGTCCATGTGCAGTGATAATGATTTTTTTGGTTGTTTGTATTGTTGGTCAGAAAATGCATTTAGACTGAAAATTGATTAGATTTTCAAACTGACCAGGGTACCTTGTAAAGGTTTTCTCTGTTTTAGAATAGTTATGGCCTTTGACACACTTGTTTGGACTCTTATAATTTCTGAGGTGGTTTGTTAACTTGTCTATACACGTGAATTTGTTAACTAGTTAGAAAAGTGTTGAATGCAACTGGATGCATTGCAGTTTTAAGGTTATTAGAGAAAGGGAGGTTGGCACAATTCATAACAGTTCAATGCTACAATCATGCTTACTAAAGTTCCTAAAGTGTTTGCAGCAAGATGCTACATATCATCCATTAATCTAATGCAGGACTTGAAAATAAAATTTAGATTCTAATGATATACTGGACTTTGTAGAGAGAACTGTGTGCCACATGAAAGTACAGGTCCTTCTGAAAATATTAGCATATTGTGATCAAGTCTATTATTTTCCACAAAGTAATGATAAAACTTGAACATTCATATGTTTTAGATTCATTGCGAAACGAGCTATGTACCTAATCTTCGAATCAACAAATTAACTCTAAACACCTGCAAAAGATCCCTGATGCCTTTAAAACTCCCAGCCTCGTTCATCACTCAAAACCCCAATCATGGGTAAAACTGCTGACCTGACTGCTGTCCAGAAGCCCATCATTGACACCCTCAAGCAAGAGGGTATGACACAGAAAGATATTTCTGAACGAATAGGCTGTTCCCAGAGTGCTGTATCAAAGCACGTCTGTGGGAAGGAAAAAGTGTAGCAGAAAACACTGTACAATGAGAGGAGGTGACCTGAGGAAGATTGTGGAGACGTGCCGATTCGAGACCTTCTAAATGGGCTACAGGTGCCGCATTCCCCAGGTCAAGCCACTTTTAGACTTAGACAGATTTATTTTGTATACAAGACTGTAGACGAAAAGAAATTTTGTTTAAAACAGCTCTAGACAATTTCATTTTGTAAAAGTGCAGCCTTGAAAACAGTAATAAATACATAAAAAATAGTAATAAAAACATATGACTATATCTTTACAGTTCTAACAGTCATTTCCTTTTTTTTTTATAAATAAAATAACCCATTTTACACAACCTTCAGCAGTCTAATGGAAGTGGGGAAGAAACTGTTATAGAATCTGCTGGACCTGCATCGGATGCTTCAAAGCCTCTTCCCAGAGGGCAGCAGGGAGAATAGTCCATGGTGGGGGTGTGAGGGGTCATTTATGTTGTTACGGGCTCGAGACAAGCAGCGCTGGGATGAAATGTCTTTAATGGAGGGAAGGGAAGCCCAGATGATCTTCTCTGCTGTTCTCACCACTCTTCTCACTTTCTTCCAGTCTGAGGCGCTGCAGCCTCCACACCACACAGTGAGACAGCTGGTCAGAACGCTCTCTATGGTGCTTCTGTAGAAGGTGGTGAGGATGGTAGGGGGCAGGTGGGCTCTCCTCATCCTCCGCAAGAAGTACATGCGCTTCTGTGCACTTTTGACCAGTGAGATGTTTACATTGGTGCTGTTTACCACCTCTACAGCTGAGCTGTTGATGAGCAGTGGAGCGTGGTTAGGACGGTTCTTCCTGAAGTCCAAGATGATCTTATTCTTCTCCACGTTCAGGATCAGGCTGTTATCTTTGCACCAGCCTACCAGCTGCTCCACCTCCTTTCTGTAGTCCAGGTTGTTTTCACCACCGTGGTGTCGTCTGCAAACTTCATGATGTGACTGGTGGTGAACCTGGGGACACAGTCATGTGTCATCAGGGTGAACAGCAGGGGGCTCAGGATGCAGCCCTGAGGGGAGCCTGTGCTTAGACTGATGACATCAGAGATGTACTGTCAAACCTGGACTGACTGAGGTCTGTTTGTGAGGAAGTTTAGCAGCATATATTGAAGGGTTGTATTGAAGCCTAGCTGTTCCAGTTTGCCCATCAGATGCTGTGGGATGATGGTGTTGAAAGCTGAACTGAAGTCAAGGAACAGCATCCGCACGTGGGTGTTCTTCTCCTTCAGGTGTGCCAGGCTCAGGTGGAGAGCAGCAGAGATGGCGTCCTCAGTGGAGCGGTTCCATCGGTAGGCAAACTGGAACGGGTCGAATGCTGGCAGCAGACTGGAGATGATGTGTTCTTTCACCAGCCTTTAGAAGCACTTCATCATGATTGGAGTCAGTGCGACAGGCCGGTAATCATTTAGTGAGGTGAAGCACTTGAAGCATGCTGGCACTTTGGATTGGTCCAGCGAGGTGTTCAAGATGTCTGTGAGGACACCAGCAAGCTGATCTGCACACTCATTATACACCCTCCCAGGTATGCTATCAGGCTCTGGGGCCTTCCTTGGATTGAATCTCCTCAGGGTTTTTCCTCACTTCAGCTACGTCCATGTTTAGTGCCTCCTCCCCCTGGTGTGGAGCAGCTTTCACTGCTGGAGTGCTGTTTAGTGCCTCAAACCTTCCAAAGAATTTGTTCAGTTCATTTAGGAAGTCAGTGTTTGCTGCATCTACCAGGGGAGGGTGTATTGTAGTCTGTGATCACCCGAATGCCTTGCCACACCCTCCTGGTGTTGTTGGCGCACCAGGGGGATGTAGCAACCACAGCCATGGATCTCGTGGCTATGGTTCTGCATTGCTGATCTGATGGCACGGTTTAAGTTGGCACGCGCTGTTCTCAATGCTTCTTTATCACTAGACTTGAAAGCTGTGTTCCTTGCTTTTAGCGATTTAGGAACTTCTCCATTTATCCAGGGTGGTTGGTTAGCCCGGGTGGTGATGTTCTTCTTGATGCTGATGTCCTCAATGCATTTGTTGATGTAGGCTGACACAGTCATAGCATGCTCATCTATATTTAACAAGTTGTCATATGTTGCTGCAGCCTTGAAAATGTTCCAGTCAGAGCATTCAAAACAGTCTTGGAGTGTCTCCATTGTGCCCTCAGACCACACTTGGACCTCTTTAACTGTCGGTTTAGCCCTGATCAGCTGGGGTTTATATGCAGGGCTAAGCATAACCGAGAGATGATCTGATGACCCGAGGTGAGGGTGGGAGGCTGCTCTGAAGGCATCCTTGATGTTAGAGTAAACTAGGTCCAAAATATTTTCACCCTGAGTTGCAAAGTCCACATGTTGGTAAAAATGAGGGAGAACAGTCTTCAAGTTAGCCTGGTTAAAATCCCCAGCAATGATGAAAACACCCTCTGTGTGTGCAGATTGGAGCTCAGAGATAGCCTGGTATAGAGTCTTCATGGCTTCTTTTGTATTAGCGCTGGGGGGGCACGTAAACAGCAGCAATGCTAACCACACTGAACTCTTCGGGCAGATAAAACGGTCTGCAGTTAACAGTCAGAAACTCGATAACTTGATATTTGAACCAGAAACAGTGGCAGAGGCGCCTGACCTGGGCTACAAAGAAGCAGCACTGGACTGTTGCTCAGTGGTTCAAAGTACCAAAGTCCAGTGTCAAGTACCCACAGTCAGTGATGGTCTGGGGAGCCATGTCAGCTCTTGGTGTTGGTCCACTGTGTTTTATCAAGGGCGGGGTCAATGCAGCTATCAAGAGATTTTGGAGCACTTTATGCTTCCATCTGCTGAAAAGCTTTATGGAGATGAAGATTTCATTTTTCAGCACCACCTGGCACCTGCTCACACTGCTCAATTGGCCTGCCAACTCTCCTGACCTGAACCCCATAGAGAATCTGTGGGATATTGTGAAGAGAAAGTTGAGAGACGCAAGACCCAACACTCTGGATGATCTAAAGGCCGCTATTGAAGCATCCTGGGCCTCCATAACACTTCAGCAGTGCCACAGGCCGATAGCCTCCATGCCACGCCGCATTACAGCAGTCACTTTTGCAAAAGGATTTGCGACCAAGTATTGAGTGCATAACTGTACATAATTATTAGAAGGTTGACTTTTTTTGTATTAAGAACACTTTTCTTTTATTGGTCGGATGAAATATGATAATTTTGTGAGATAGGAATTTTGGGTTTTCATGAGCTGTAGGCCAAAATCGTCCGTATCAAGACAATTAAAGACCTGAAATATTTCAGTTCGTGTGCAATGAATCTAAAATATATGAATGTTCAAGTTTTATCATTACATTATGGAAAATAATTAACTTTATAACAATATATATTTTTAGTAGGACCTGTATGCTGGTTTATTTACAATTCTTTTCATTTGCGCTTTATAAAATGTTTGCGGAACAGATCTTTGTCATAATTGTTGTAAACAGGAATCCAGATACTGGATAGTACACTTCTGGAAAAGTTGTGTAAAATAATATCTAAATTTTATGTCCTTTTTCATCTATATTGTGCTACTGAAAAATCATCCCTCTCTATTCACTGATAACCTCACACTGATGTAAACCACTAAATCTGTGTGACCTCAGTTGGCATTCAGTTTTGCACATTCAGCTGAAAATATCTAAATGTTGTTTTTTCCCAGATGAAAAAGAAAACCTAAATTCAACTAACCACCGAAAAGACGCCTGCTTTCATTTCTGTCCTTTGGAGATGATCTCATGCCCGGGGAACTTTGGAGTATTTTTTTGTTGCATTGGTAAATTACTTCCTCGTGATACAGTCTCAAGTTCATAAGGCCTTTTATAGGCCTTTTTTGGTCATGGTATGTCTGCTCTATGTGAGCTATTAATACCTCTTGTTTTTGTCCCACATTTTCTACATTACTACCACAAATACTGCATATTTTTTGTGGGATTCTGCTTATGAGTGGCACAAAATTATAAAACAGAATCAAAGTTATGCATGGTTGGAGAGGCTGAGGGGAAACTTTGTAAAAAATTAAGTAATATTGCTGCTTTTACATGATATCAAACATGCAAAGATTTTTCTCAGGTCATCTCAGCAGCCCTGACTCATTCAAAAAAGTGCAGGTCTTGGACATATTTTATATATATATATATGATATGTATTTAAAAAAATGGGGTCACCTGAGAAAACATTTTATTAAAAAAAAAAAACTACAAAAGCAGGAATTTACAAAAAATTTAGCAATGAGTATACATGTTATGGAGCATGCTGAAGTGAAAACAATTCAATTGTTGTATTGAAAGAATAAGACTGTAATAATTATATTCTCTAAACTTAATATTTGAAAACTGTTAAACCATTGCTTTTTGACTTTTGTCTTAGAATCTTAAAAAAATATCACTTCACATTTTTATTCTCAGAATCAAAGTTTGTTTTGGCATGTTAGGTTGCTCTGAGAAGATTAAGCAACTTTTGCACTTCCTCATTTCAGACTGTGACAATTTTCGTTGTTAATAATGTTATCTAAGGTGTTTATTGGCTATAATTCCCTTTGTCATATCAAACAACCTTCATATACATTAACATCTGTTGTTTTTGTTGGAAAGGAAAAGTATATTGTCTGTTATGAAGAAAAGAAAAAGTTTTGCATGCTGCTGGTCAGGCAGGAAGCTGTTGGTGTGGTTTCTTCAGCGGAACAACAGAGGGGAAGCTGTTTTGCCTTCTTTTTTTTTCTTAATTTATTTATACTGCGTAGTCTCTCAGACCAAACAAGAGTCAGCCACTGAAAGAAACAAGAGTTAAGGAAGTCGGGACAAAAGGAATCAAGTTTCAGTATAGCTTAACGCTCCTGAGAGAACTTGACTGAAAGGAAAACCTCCACTGTTCGTTTTCCCACTCTGTGAAAAGAGAAAAAGTTAAAGATTAAGAGTGGTCATGCTGCTAGTGTAAGCTGGCTAGGGGTTTAATGTGTCCCCGTGATGGCAGTTTCAGCAAATATCAAGCCAGGAGCTGGACACTGTGCGAGTGAAGGGAGGCTATCTTGGCCAGTTTTCCTGCTGACCCTAGCTGCCGTCACCTCCTCTACTCTCTCGGCTCTCTCCCTTTACCAGTTAAAGACTCTGGGAGATGAAGTAGAGACTCTCAAGACAGACATCAGCCGGACGAGAGAAGAGTGGCAAAAGGTCAGCCCCAGAGGTCAGGTAAGTAAAAGTCATTAGAGGTTACAACTACCCTACGGTAGATGTAATTTTAATGTGTTTCTAAGGATGATATTATGTGTTTGCAGAGTGAAAACATCCATGGAAGAGAAAAAAACCAAGAGCTACGAGATCTACCAGAGTCTCAACATGCTGTTAGTCAAATAAGAAGAAAAAGAAACGTCGCTGAATCAGGGATGTTAGGTATGTGATGTGAAATCCTTTCAGAATCGATAATAGTCTATTAGCTCATGTGCCTAATTTTTTTATGGAAAATTTAACACTGTATTTTATACCTTTAAAAGGTTGTTTCAGAGTATTTATACTTTAAAAAATTTGTTTCATAGGTGTTAAAGGGGATCTAGAATCTTGCTGATTTTAGATGAACAAGATTCTTAGCGGTTGCTCCACATTTGTTTGAATTAACTAGTAAAATATCTCAGAATATATAAAACAGTCTTTTGCTAAATCTGCTATAAAGGAATCAAGTCATACATTTATTTTTATCAATATCTTTAAAAAAAAAAGTTTTTTGCTCAATTTTATTGATTCTAATTTTTAAAAGATGATTGAAATCAAAATTCAATATAGAATTATTCAAATAAAAAATGTTTTTTGATTCATATATGCATACATTTATGGGGGTAGAAGAAAAGTTAACTGTAGCAAAATCAGGAGTCATTTACCAGTATATTACATGTATATTTATATTTAGTTGTATTTGACTAATATTATTACTACTACATCAGTTTGAGAGGCTGAATGAACAACTATTCCATAGGTGACAATATTTGTATTTTGTATTAGTGTCCTAAATGAAATGAGAAGTATTAAAACTGTACACACACCAGTCCTCTTTTGACAGAAGAGAAAAACAACTTCAGGGTAAAAAAGATTTTTATATATATATATATATATATATATATATATATATATATATATATATATATAAGAACATTTTTTTAATTCCAGATGTTTGTTGGGTTAACTGCTCACAGTTTGCAAAGAACATTAAATACAATAAATTGATATTTAGCTTTGGTGTACATGATGTTTCCAAAATCTTTGGTCATCCAATTTATCAAAATGAAGAGTTTCAATCCATTTAATTGGCCGCATGGACAAGACATAAATAAAAAAGTAAATCTAGCATCTCCTCTTGCTTTTATTAGTATTATAGTAGTAGCATTGGTTTTAAGCCTGATAAAATCATGGATGTTATGTCACACAGAAAACAGTCACCAAGCCCAAATTTTATGCAGCTTCAAATTATCTCATGAAAACCATTTAGAGATGTTCATGGGAAGGGTTTGCATAGTTGAGCAGCTGACTCCAACCTTTATATCTTTTACTGCGACTAAAAGCCTTAGATACAGTAGTTTTTAGCTGCTATCACTGGACTCTAGAATAGGAGAGAGGTGGTCTTTACAAGTAGCACTTTGCCTGACAGTTAAATTGATGAGTCTGGATTTGGCAGCTGCCAGGGCAGCAATAACTTCACTATACAGTATGTGATGTGTGATATGTCCTGTTTTGGGTAGAAGGGGTGTCGGGCTGTTTTTAAAGAGTTTGGATTTGCCCTTTTGTTTAATTGAGAATAACTCTTACCATGCAAAAAAAAACATTTTAGTCCATTTCTTGCCTTATACATTCATTTTGTAAAACCTGTCTTGGAATGACTGTTTCATTGTATAACACAATTGTGTACATGAGCACAAAATGAGGAAATAAAAACATGAATGAGAGTTTGTTGTGGAAAAGCTTAACTGATCTTAGCTATTTCTGGAATAACTAAATATTGTTCAAATAAAAATGGCTGCTTGTCCAGGCAGTACCTTGTCAATAAGTGAATCCTTGGTTACATTATCCCGTAATCTGAGTTTTCTGAAGGAAAAATAAAATAAAGTGCAACAAGGTAAACAACCAGTGTTTTGTGTATTGATGGCTAGATTTTATTCTAATACTAATAAAAAGAGAGATGATAGGGATTTAACGTTGATTTGGAAACTACTAACTCTATTTTAAACCACCCTTTAATTTATTTTGTATATTTGTTTTAGTGCTGACATAATTTCTTTCTGGTTTATACTAGGTTCTCGGTCCTGCCTGCAGCTTCTGGCAAACAACAGCAGACAACCATTCAGAAAGGGTACAGAGTCTATTACTTTAATTTTATTTAGACAAATGTCTTTTGTTCATTGTTTTTTTTACCCATTGCTAGAAATGCTCTACAAATTTCCAGGTTAAAATTTGCAGAAAAAAATGTGTCTGTTAGCTATTGGTGCTTTGTGCATGTTTTCTAATGGGAGGCCCTATCTTGGACCAGACCTGCCCTCAGGTCTGTACACCGGTATCCCCTGGCAAGCTGGGCTGAGGACAGGCTCAGCCCTGGAGGCAGAAGATGACCGTATTGCAGTGAAGGAGGCTGGCTTTTACTTTGTCTACAGTCAGGTAGATTCCATTACTGTAAATCCCTCGTTTAACCACTAGGAGCTGCTACTACTCTTTCTGCAAAAATGTTGCTTTCTTTTCCTTTGTGCAAGATTCTTGCTAAAAGAAGGTGCTCAGTCAGAGCATATATTGTATTTAGTGACCCTGAGGAAGGGTCAAACAAGAGGATGTAATGTAAATTTCATTTATCAAAATAAACTACATAGGTAAATCTTTCCTATCTGTTTCAGGTTTTTTGTAATAAACAAAACTTAGTGATTCTGTTTTTTTGCAGGTCTACTACATGGACAGCACATTTACAATGGGCCATGTGGTGATCCGGCGGAAGAGGTATGTAGTGGGAAATGAGGATCAGGATGTGCATTTGTTCCGCTGCATCCAAAGCATGAACCCCGATTATGCTTTCAACACCTGCTATACGGGAGGTGAGCTTCAGTCATATTTTATGTCCACTTGTAGCAACTCATAGACCAAGAAGTGTTTTTTTTAGCTTAAGTTAGACTATAGGTGTGATTTTCTATATAGAGCCTGTCTAAAGTACACATGTTAATCCTACAGGAATTGTAAAGCTGGAGAAGGGAGACTACTTGGAACTTCTGATTCCTCGGTCTATGGCCAACATTTCCATGGAAGGAGACTCTACCTTCTTGGGTGCTTTCAAGCTCGCTTAAAGTGTATGATCTGAGACTGCAGCTAAAAGAACAATGCTCCACATGACATGTATTTGGAGGGAGAAATGCAGTTATTGGGCACTTTCTGTTGAACAAAAAAAATCCAGCAAGAGGCACCAACTTTATGGCTGAATGCTATATTGCATCTTTCATACAGTATGTTATACAGTAGGATCTAATGTGAAACAGACAATACTGAGGCTTTAATGATGTTCAATTTATCTCATTTAAATTCAAAGCATGCAGAATTATTTTCTTCATATAATCGCACACTTAGCAGTCAGAACTTGTAAGCCTTTTTTTTCCAACTCATTTTGCAGGCAGTAAAAACAAAAATCATATAAGTCATTTTGGGCAAGATTACTATAGCACCAAATAGCTGTCTTTGTATTTTCTTAAAAGCAGATTATCATTGTGATGGCCTCATTTATACAGATCTGTAGCTTATGAAAACAAAAGATAAAATAAAATAAAAAAAAATGTGTCGAATGTCAGTGTAGGATAAGATTGCTATTCCATTTTTTATTTTTTTTTTTTGTCCACAGGAAGTAAAGATGTTTGTGTGAAAGAACAAGACAGGGACATCAAGATAAGGTGAAGCGGGAACAGTGGAAATCAAGTATATGAGAATATTTTTAGCTTCAAGAGAAACTGCAGGCAGGTGGTGTCAGCAGTTTCAAAGACGCCTATTAATGACTTTGTCAAGCCTGAAAATTCTAAAAGAAATGATCCTCCTGTCAAAAATCTCAAGTTTATAACAAAGATTCAAAATCAACATTATTGCACAATGTCTAAAAGGAGCTCCATTCAGTGTAAGCCGCCTAAAATTTTAAGGTGTTAGAGGTATCTTCATAAAAAAACAAATCCCATCTGAGATCAAGCTTCATCTTTGGAGTGACCAAGAGCTGCTGATCTGTTTACCTTACAGTCTGTAAAGGAAAGTTTTGGTGAAGCAAGTCCAAGAGATGTGATGGAGCAAAAGCATTGAGGTATCAAAAAAATAAAAGGTACAAGATCAATATTAATTCTGTAGCACACTGAAATTGCGGGTGAAAGCATTCCAGCAAGTGAGTTATTTCTGTGATAAAGTTAAAAGGCAGACAGAAGTACTTCGGACAATATTCGGACAAGGCAGAAGATGGCAGCTTTTCTGACCCCAAAAAATTGTTTTATTTTTTCCAATTGAAGAAATCTAGAATTTACTACACAGCTGACCTGTGTGTCAAATGCAAGGTTGAACTCTAATTTCACCTTGAGATTGGTGGCAGTGTATTTTAAATATAAAGTCTAAGATTCAAAGAATACATGGTGGGAAACAGAAGGTGCACTGATGTGGGATAATATAACTTCAGTCTTTTTACCACTAAAGCCAAAAGAAATCGATCTAAGCTTTCTCTTCATTAAAATTTTCTAACAGGATTAATAGAGTGAGCAATCTGTTAGTTATCCACAGCAAAACGAAAATCCAAAGGTGTTTGTCATTCAAACATCAGCATTGAGTTGACATTGTACATAAGAATAGTCAGTAACAGGGCAATCATGAACAAAATTGTCAGAGGCAGATGGCCAGCCACATACAACAATGCCATCTTGTACCACAATACTTCAAATATTACAGAATCTTAATCACTTAAAAAATAATAATAATAAATTCACAAGAAATGCAGAAAATTTTACTTTTATTTTGGGTAGATATTATTTTTCATTTGTATTTAAATGTTCTTTACCTGGCAAAATTATTTGGAAAATAAAGATCCATCCAAGAAGTTACCATATTCTTCCCCTTTCTCACACACTAATTCTGTCCATTAGGCATAAGAAAGTCCTATTGGTAATCTCTGCTACACTTGATCTTTTACCTTTATTGTCATGGCTCCACTTGACTAGACCAGATAGCTACTAAAGCAGGCAGACTAAAATATGAGTCTGTCCAATGGTGTACAAAAGTACTTAGTGGATAACGGTAAATTTTAATGGAAGAGTAGATGGACATAATGAAGCTAAAATGCATAATGGAAGTCAGGCCTGGCCCTGGGAAATCAGAGGAGCTCTTTGATGGACCGACCGTGCTGTTTTCCACAGCAGGCGGCTGAACAAACAGCAATTGAAAAAGAGTAAAAGGAGCAGGGTACGGGAAAAGAGGGGTGCGGAACCCAGATCGTCCCCCATAAATGTGTCAAGCATGATGCTCCCCTTCCTCTCTTTGGGCTAGAAATGTCTTTGTGCGATGCCATGGTTACGCCTTGTGTGTTTGCGGAAGCTGATGTCATTGTGGGTTAGGCTTACAAAAGAGAAGCCAGCGTCTGACTGGAGAATCAGGAAATGAGACCAACTGTGTGGACAAATGTTGGCACTGTGTGTAGCTCACACGCTATAGGAATATCCTTCAAATATAAAGAAAAGTTGAGGTTCCAAACATCCATTGAAGAATTTTGACATTTTTTTAAAATGTGTTCTAATTCTGTAAGCCATGCAATGTATAGGATACAAGACTGTACTGCTGCAATTCCAGCAGTTCTTAGTTTCAAACAGACATCTGTGTGGGTTGCTCTTGTACATCACATGTATTTATTGATTAGGGAAATTGATTGGATAACATGGTTGATCCTTAAAAGCTACTAGGTGTTGCAATTTGAAAGGACAACTCTCTTTGTCATGACTCAGAACAGAGGGCCCAGTATTCAAGGGAAGACAGTGGGATTACTCAACAGTGTTTATTATAAATCGGATCTGCAGTAATAGCCTCTAGGTCAGGAACCTTTGCAGGAGGGAAACACAGTTTAGTGACCACGATATTCTGACAGAGGATAGTTATGAAGGTGTGGGTCACTAACCTGGTTTAACAGTTCAGTCCATGCCCAGAGAAAAATGTAGGATCCAACTGGTGGGCTGCCAACAAGATGCAGCAGGCACCGCCCAGAGAGCCCCAGACACTGTAGGACGGAGAAACAAGCAATTACTTAAACCATACAAACACAATCTGCACTTGATTGTTTAACAAAAAATGGTAATACTGACATAAGGAACACACTCAAGCTACGTTTTCAGACTGAAAACTAATTTGCTAATTCAGACTGAATCATTAAAGAACCTATAACAACACAGCAAACAGAAAACATAAGGTTTAGAATTTGCACTTAAGTGTGGTAAAATCCAGTTTAAAGATAAACCAAATCCTCCCTTAAACTGTAAAAAGTAAGCTGCATAAACATTTTAACAGTTTTCTAGAAGTTTCTGATATAGATGAGGATTCCAGAATTTGACAAAGCATAAAAATAAACGAGAAAAAGCTTATTTACAATGATGAAATTATCAGTTGTGATTGTTAGACTTTATAGAAATCAGGTTATGTCTGGATAGTCCTGGATACTGTATTTTTGGGTCGTTCTTGGGTTTCTTGTGAGTTCCACTGATTGAATGAGAAGATCTCCTTGAGTCCCTGAGAGTAAAGAACTGGAAAGCAAGGATTGAGGCAGTTATTAAGATGCTGCAGTAGAAGACAATGGAAAAGGAACCCAGAGGAAAACTGTTGTGTTTTAAGAAGGATCTTGGCAAAGATAATTACACCCTGAGAGCACAGAGAGCTAGAGTTAAGTCAAACAGAACAGAAAAAAAACCTGAGTCACTTCAAAATTTCTGTTGAGAGTTTTAATGAATTATGTAAATGTGCTTGGGGTGCATGTATAATTTAATTCAATTCAATTCAGTTAAATTAGTGGATCAAGGTCAAACAAGAATACAAACTCCCCACAAACAGATAAAGACCTAAAAGACCTATTATACCAGAGGGCTTCAATTCCAGTCCCCTAGGTTTACACCTTTAGATGTGTCTGTGCTTCCACACCTGAATCAAACGTTTTTATGTCCTTATTAATGACCCAGTTATTTGTCTTAGTTGTGTTGAAGAAGAGAAGCACCCAAGACCTATGTAAACCAGAAAGCATTTATTGCTGCAAATAAGTTGCAGAAGAATTAATATGTTTCTTCATTCTCACATGTTTATCTATAGCCTGCACCCCATCTGTGCACCATTGTCTTCCATCCTCCTTTTCTCACACTTTGGTAGCTTCAGGACAGGTCTGACTGATGATGAGGGCTAAAGGTGATCCTGAATCCTGCTTGTAACATCCAGCACGCTATGCTTCTGCAAGAAACCAACATAAACCTTCTCATGCTTCAGTCATATGCACAGAAACACACTCAAATGTTCACATTCACCTTTAAATCAATTCAAATAAAAAAAAAAACCTAATGTATATACATATCTCAGGATGCTTTAATATTAAACATGTCCAATCCATGTACATACTTATCTAGTATTTTGGGATTAGTTTGATCTTCTACAGTCAGCCCAGAGTAATCAGTGTGATCCACAGCCCTGCTGCTGAACTGGCAGCATAGCTGCCTGGATTTCCAGTTTAAAGGAGGATTTGGTTTATCTATAAACTGGATTTTGCCACACTTAACTGTAAATTCTCAACATCATGTTTTCTGTTTGCTATGTTGTTGTGGGTTCGTTAATGATTCAGTCTGAACTAACAAATTAGTTTTTAGTTTGAAAACACAGCTTGAGTTTGTTTCTTATATCAGTGTTACCATTTGATCAGCATTTTCTTTTGCCTCTGAACTTTTAGATCAGCTTAAAAATAAAATGATAAATAAAAGATGTGGCTGTGAATCTCTGTAGAAAATATACCAGCAGGGGCACAATCTGAATAAGGAAATCACAAAAAGAAAATGATCCTTTTTCATGTTCGATCTTTAGCTGACAATGTTCTCAAAGGCTTGAACCTTTTAAACTTCAGATCAAAGGAGGATAACATCAAATGAATAGAGGTTTCTGCACTAAACCTCCTGACTATAGTTCTCTCCTCTGCTTTATGGCTGCATTGCATACTTTGGAATTACATTTTCTTTTACACGCATACATTTTGGGTCGACCCAAGAGAGTTCCTATTTTATTTATACAATAAAATGCTTGATTCAGCCTCCAACACTGTAACTGATGTTCCTCTGGCATCAGCAAGTTTGGTAAAAATGAGACTATTTGCCTTGACTTGTTCTCAGAGAGGCTCCGGCATCTGGTTGGGCTCTGGAATGGTGTCAATGCTCCCCCAAATCAGATGGAGTCAGACAAAATAGTCCAGGTATTTTATCAAAACATACCCTGGGGACTTCTCTTTTGATGCTTTTAGGTACAATACCTCAGACTGGGGGGAGCCGCTAGCGAGACCATGCTAGAGGGACTGTATGTGGAATACATGGGAATGCATTGAAAGAATGAGAAGAGTGTCGCTGAGGAGTGGTGCTTTTCTCCCTGGACATGCTTCCTACAGTAAGTGACCTGAACTGGATAGGCAGAAGACATGAATGGATGAATTAAAGTACACTCATATTCCACTTTATTAGATATTCAATTGCTTATTTAGATAAAAAGAAAGTCAGCCAGCCAATCACAGGGTAAGAATTTTATGCATTTAGGTATTACGACATCGTTAAGGGGCCTCGTTGAGTTTAAATTGAAGAGGAAAAGGGAACTATCAATAATTATCCAGTATGCTAGTGAGCATTCTCAGTCATCCAGGTCATAGTCATTCTTTGTTAGCCTGAAATATACGATACCGGTCTATGCCTCTGGTATCAGGTATTGCAAGCTAACAAAGAACTCAAAGGACTCCCCATTCCTAAGGAGCAGACCCATTCTTCCAGTTCAATTTGAAGCCAAAGTAAGGCTTTGTTTTGGGCCACTCTATAAAGATTCAAAGTCAACGCTAATTCAGACATTTTGAATTGAAAGAGCTACCTGGATGGAAGGCGAAACATCTTCAAACCTAGAAACAAAGTCCAGTGGATTGTTTTTGAACTTTATTGGAATTGTCCAGTATGTTTTACATAAATGAAACCTTCTGACCACTCTATTTAAAATGATCAAAAAAAGAGAAGATATCCAGCAGAGTAGGTGAAGACTTAAATGAAATGTAGAATCCCATAAAGTAGCTGAAATAAATTTTAGTTCCAACGAAAGTATAAATACAACATAGAGTACGGCAGGGAAAAGACTATATCAGGACACACATTTCTTTCAGCTATGTATAGGAACACAGGTTTACCAAAATTGGAACATAACTAATTGTAAAAAATTTTGCCTAATCATATATCTTGATTTCAGCTTTGCAACACTTGAAATTTTTCAACCTCCACAGCTTCACAAAATAAAACAGTTTGTAATGCAATGATATAGTTTAATCCAATCAGCAATAGGTGGCTGTCAAATCTGCTGCAGCTGCTGGTGCTATTGAATCAATATAGCCAAACATTTCTGAGTAAAATTCAGTCACCTTGAAAAATCTATGCCACAGAGATTTCCTGCTAGTGAAATATATAATTATTGAATATATAATTATATTCTGGTAGGTCGGCGTAGATTAGAGGTGGCCAAGTTCAGTACTCAAGATCTACTACCCACATCTGAATCTAGTACAGTAAGTGTATTCGCTAATCAGCTGTCATTCAGCTCTGAAGAGCCCTCTTAACTGCTTTATGTAATTTAATGCAAAGTTTTTTTCCCGTTTATCCCCTATTCTCTGTACCTGAACCTTAATGCAGACACTAAAGACTTAAAATTAAGAAGAAAGAGCTGAAATGAGGAAAGAAAGAATTTGGGAAAGACTTGTTTTTTCTGCATGGAACATTGTCTGCGTACTTGCTTCTTGTTCTTGTTTCTGTGCCATTGTCTCTGGGTGTAGTTCTCCCCTGCTATTTCACTACAGCGTACAAAGACACGTAATACAAATGTCATAAAGTGTAAACAGCCATGTGTCACTCATCTCTACCATCTGCT